CTCAAAAATACCTACACCGTAATTAATTGAAAAGGAACAATACATACAACAAACAAATTAGCAATTATCGGACAACGCATCAGTTTGTAATTTGCAAAGTTGTGATAGTTGTGAACTTGCAAAAGTAATGTGCGGAGTTTCCCCTCTAGTCGGATGTGCCTGTCTTAACTGTTTTAAAAATGACAGGATTTATAACCCAAGCACAATACTTATGTGACAGCATGTAGACAACAATAAGCAGGGTATTCACTCGTCGGTCGTCCTGGAGGAACACGACTAAAAATGAATGTTATCTCATGTGAACCATCTCGTCTTTCGGAGGGGAAGTGGCGTTTAATCGTTCTTCTTGAACTACCCACTTATGTACAAATGAATGTATGTAAGCTCATCTAAATGGTAAAATTCCACACATTTTAAAAATTGATAAAAAGCAAACATTCACCACTGATGACGACGAGTCTGTTGTGCTGTGTAACACAGTGGCACAAATCCATTACAAAATGATCGTAAAAACTTTCCCGATAATACTTTTTGAAAACTTTGAAACTGAAAACTAACAAAACATCCAAATACGCAGATGCATTCAATTTACACTTGATTGTTCCCAGCACAAAGATAAAAAGAGCGGTGCTACTGCAATAAGTAACTAAATATAATAAATAACTGTTTACTTTCTGGAGTAATAAGTCCCCAATGGAACCACGAGATATTAGAATAATGCCACCACACTAATTTTACTCTTCGTCGGACCTTGTCTTCTCCAAGTGATAAATGCATCCACACACAGGAGGCCCACCAAATGTGAGAACAAATAATAAGAAAATTTCAAACTTTGACCACCATGACCAAGACCATGAATAGATGAGACATTACACACTTATGCCACACAAAGGAGAGAAGAAGACATCACATCAGTCAGAAAAAGATACGAGTTGACTTTACATCATCGTGTTAATATGTGTGTGATGCTCTCGTGAAATGAAATAGAAGCGATGTCTCAGTTCAATTTACACTTCTCATTCCAAAAACTTAACCAAATTGTACCACTTCCACCAACACGTATTGCATCACTACTTCTGTCAAAATAAAAAGACTTTGCTTTTATTATTACACTAAAATTAACTTGTGCAGCAGCACTTCTACTTTTATACCTCTCTCCATCAGATCAAACCCACATTTAGGTCTAAAGTCACCGACAAGTCGTAAAATAAAAATGAAATGCCACATTCAATCGCGTTTGGCTGTCTTTTTACAGTTTTTTTGTATACCTTCTTAACAATTACTATATGCATTACTGTCATAAAATGAGAAGTTTAATCACGAGAGATCATCTAATCTATGTACGAGAGATGGGAACCACTGGCTGAATTTTATTTAAATTTTTAAAGTTTTATGACAATCGTGGGACAACTGGTGTAATTGTAATTTTAAGAGATCCGATTATTCCAGACCTTTTCTTCGTCAACTTGTCATACGTACAGAGTGGAGTGAACTTTAAAATCACACTTTAAACGGTGTCACTTTAGTGCGAATTTCCATTATAATTTATGCCGGTTTGTTTTCCATGTTAGGATTTTTACTGGTGTAATATCCACTTCAATTTTGTACCTGCCAACCAACGTAGAAAATGTCAACAATAATGATAACCATAATCATAATGCAGTCCTTATTAGCTTTTAAACTGTCCAATTGGTCAATAATCTTCAAATATGGGAACCAATACCGAACCAGCAATATTTTTTATTGACTTCACTCCACGACAAGCAAAAAACCTGAACTTTAACTGCAATTAATATTAAAGTCGATATTTTCTCCAGTAAGTAAGTAGCAAGAAAAGTAGTAAAGCCTCTTGAGCATATTTCTTGACAGTAGTGTGAATTCACACGCCCAATCGTAAACTCTAAACTTTTGGTCGTTCCGTTCTCTTAATTCCAAAGATTTTATCTCAATTTCCCACTGTCAGAAAATGAATGTGTCCATTCCACGGAAGCAGCATTCTACACACTGTAACCACCTGAGAGATGGTCCACGATAAGTGTACCGATAACTATTGAAATTCGGGGTGGACAAGATGCCGAGTAAAAAATTCTCTCCTCAAAGCCTACTCTCTGACAAATTATTTTTTTCCGTGGTCCGTCCACAATAAATAATAACAAATGAAATAAAACGCATCCTTGTGCATGCACTTGACCATTTATTCTTTCCTCCCAAGTTTTATGACCTGGTTGGAGAGTAGTGGTTGGTATGTACTAGTCAGTCGTATATGCGGTGTCTTTTCATCCTACGTGTCAATTAGTCCTCCTACCACAAGAAGAAGAAGGAAGAAAGAAAGAATCGAGGATAAAAGGAAATTCTGGTAGCCAAATTTTGAAAGGTGGTAAATGGACAGATGGAATTTTTTGTCACAATATCAGAGACAAACATCTCCAACATTTACTTTGAGGGATGAGACTAAAAAACATTTAACACCATCAACCACCACTCCTCGGACGACTTGGAGCAGATGTCAAGTGAAGTCATGCAATGTGAGGTTGGGGAAAAAAAATATATCATTTGTGACTACTTTACTTTTACTTAAATGCTGTGGTGCACTTGGCCCGAATTAAAATTTATATTATGCCGCTATTAACCCTTTCCTTGCTCATTTGAGTAGTTTCTTCCTCTTTCTTTCCGCCCATGGAAGAACAGTTTATTTGTAAAGAAGTCACACTTTAATACTCACTTCTTGAGAATTAAAAGATGAAGCAGCAGTGGTGTGCTTCTGCTTCTGGTAATATCGACCGACCGATATTATCATTGTTTATTATGGCCAAAAACCAGACTTCAAATCTCAAATGATGTTGAGATGTGATAGTTTTGTCTGGGTCAAAGTGCTTTTTCCTACGACTTGGCTGCCTCATGTATAATAATCATACCCCGGACAAATATTTTTTTATCCTACCCTACTCGTGTTGAGCTCAACATGAGTAGGGTAGGATAAAAAAATATTTTTCCGGGGTATGATAATAATGTGTCACTCCAACTAGAAGAAGACGATCTCTGCTGTGTCGGTCGGTACGTCGGTGGCAGAGAAGAAGAAGAAGTCACTTTTTCTACACAAAAACTTGTCTCCGGCCGGTTAGAATCAGAGCAGTGCATAATAAGCGTTGGGAGTGGCTGTCAAATGGATGTATGTTCTTCTCATCATAAATTAAGGATTACTTAACGTAGAAAACCTATGTATGCATTTGACACTAGAAAATGTAATTGGCGCTTTAGGCATTAATTTCAATTAGTCCCGAGGTAAGAGACTTGAGCACATTTTGTTAAATATTAATGACAAAAAATGAGCTTAAGCATAAGAACGACAAAAAAATGTTAAATGACCACATCAGTGTCAGCCGGATGATGTCACTGTCATACGTTTGTGTCTACTCTGAGGATGAGTGAGTTGATACATATTTGTGGTATGAGCCAAGTTTTACTGATGATATTATTTAAATAAATACAAATTTCGCATTAGACAAATTCTGATTAGACAGAGTTGTCCTTCCGTAAAAAAAGTGGGTGTGGTTCTCATTTTATTTTTCAAATAGCATATTTCAAATCATTCCTGTGTAATGGTCCATTACGTGATCAATTCATTGCGAGAGATGATTTTTTTTTCTTTGCAGGTTAAAAATCCTTCTGTTTAGGCCACCTTGTTAGCTCTATTGTGTTCTGGGGATCCTGCTGATGATCAATTTTTTTTATCCCGTTGTATTATCTTTCATATTGCATCATACCCCTCGATCAAGTTAACTATCTATAATTCAACCTTCAATGGCCAATCACTCACTTTTTTTACCATGCATGCGTAGTGGTGGTGGTGGTGCGTAAAATTTTGCGAGTTGCGAATTTGTAAATACTTTTATATAGGTGCCATTGACTGTATTGCATTTATTTGTTGTAAGCAAGTGCCATTAATGGCACTTGGCATGGCACTCACTGACAATAGCGTGGCTTACCCTAAACCAATGATCAATCGTGTAAAGAATATTATTAGAGCACATGTAACTTTTAAATGCGAGCTATGAAAAAGATGTGCAAATCACTTTGGAATTTTTCTTGTCTCAAATGTGTAATAAACTCGTGCCGTACATTAACAAAGAACAAGCAGTTTGCTTTCTGCTTAAATAAAATTCTAAAAGAATCTCAACAAATTCAAAGGTTACATTTGACGTACGTAACGTAAGTCATGCTCGTAAAAAGTATGCTCAATGGGTTGGATTCCTGCTGAGCTATTTTCTTAAAATTAAAGGCAAATGCTTAAATTCATGGTATATGCGTAGTAAGAACTGTATGCCTACAGATCTATTATGCAACACAAGCCAAATTCCTTAAAAAACATCCTCACTTCTTGGCTATTGAAAAAACTGCTGAAAATTTTCCCAAAATTTTTTGGTCACACATTTTAAGTGAAAATTTGCATAAGATAATGACAATTTATTGGCTACAACAATCCGTCATTATTTTATTTTGACAAATTTGTATTCAATATTTTCGACGGAATTCCATAAACAGATTTTTCCGGCATTCGTTTTCTCACTTTCTAGCGCCTTTCAACCTCTTTTAATCAACTTTATAATGACAGATTGCCAAATCCGCCTCCGCCAAGTTTTGTCTTCTCATTACATTTTATTAGAGTTTACTTGATAAATTAAGCCAATTATGGAACACCATAATCCTAAATGTTCTCATATTTAGTAGTATCAATAACTAGTTATTGTTCTGGGATGTCATTACACTTTCGTCAAAGGTCAGCAGTCCAAAAGCAATAAAATGATCCCACTCCTTTCGATAATGTTCTCATCTCAACAACAATTTGGCAAACCGATGATATCCACACGAACAGGAAAATACACACGTTTTTTAATTAAGCAATTTAAAATATTATGAATACTCATTATCCAAATCGTAAAGCCATTATTTATCCAAAAACCTTGTACATTTTTGCAACAGATTTTGAATGTTGTACTTACAATGCGTCATCCAAGAGTGGCTGCAACCATCACAAACTCTGAGCGAATCTTTACTCGTGGCTGCAACAAAATTGACACAATCGCATCCCGATCCCGCGCTGCAGCGGAGTTTCTGTAATCAAAAAATAAATTCGAGGATAAGACAATGAGTTTTAAACATTAGGAAAAAAAGACATTTGTCGGCATATCATGTTTTTTACCCGTATTTCATGTTCACAGTTTAACAGCTAGTAAATAATTCAATGAAAAAATTGGAGCAGATTCTCCCACGCAATAAAACCCAAGCGTAATGTCAATAACTCATTACTTAATAACAGGCAACGTAACACATTGACTGACGGTGACTGCGGGTGGTTTTCGGTATTTATTGTAAATTATGGCAGAATATTTATTATTTTTTAATAATATCGGCCGAACCTATTTATTGCTAACAGATGTCTATTTAAGGAAGAAGAAGAGACGGTGTGTTGCATTCGGTCTTTACATTTCAGATTTATTTCCAGAGAACTCGGATAAAAAATTGAAAAACGACGACCGTCAAGCTAATTTATCTGCCAATACATTACAGTACAAAACTAAGCAGGCTGAGTGATAGGTAATAAAAATTATGAGGCAAGAGATATACCCGAGAAGAGAATCGATCTCTATATACATCTGCATTTCATCCGCATTAAATAATAAGTTAAGAAGAGGACATGAGAGAAGGTACGTACGTAGGATGAGAAGAATTATGAAACACGCCGCATAAAAACCGGAACCATACTGTGCCATATGCTAATAATAAGAAGAATCATAATAAATAATCATTTTTGATTCCATTATTATTATTCCGTTCCGAAGAAGGGTCTTTAGCTCAAAATCGTATAGGGATGAAATCAAACCGGATATGATTTAGATTTGGATGAGACACGGCATCATCTTCTCCTCGGTAAAGTAAACGACCAAATATTATCATCACTCAATAATGAAGGCAATCATTTCCACCGTCGAAAAGTAATATATGCCATGATAGCATTTTATGTAAAATCAGATCCTATATGCTTATCAAAAGTGGGTAGGTAGGTATCCCGTCCGCATAAGGATTATACTTTATATTTCCAGACTTTTCAAACTTTTTCCAAATTCCCAACCACTCTGTCACCATGTCGTTCAAAGTAAACGTATTGAAATCCAAATGAAGATGAATATGATAAATAAAAGGTCTTCACCACCACTTCCTCCATTCCCAGAGGAGGGAAAGCTCTTTTATATAAGCATCCCAAACACTAAAATCCGATCAATATCCAATACTTCCTTCATCACCAGGTTATGCATGTACATAAGTTGGCTGGTTGGTGGAAATTCAAGAAACCCATCAATCAGTGTTGAATATTCTTCCATCATTTCTCATCTCGTCGTCTCATTCAGATTTTTGAATAGAGACTGAACCAGAACACAAGGGGAAGAAATTTACAAGCAGAAAACGGCACCTAGCTAACCTCCCTTTTATACGATCAATTCGTTTGTTTATATCCTTCTAAATAAATCAATGCCAATGCCACTGCCGCACAGGTTTTACAAACATGAAGAGTAAAACAATACGTTCACATGCTGCCTGCTCCGATTGATTTCCTTCTTGAAATGGAAATTAAATAGAGGGGAACACAATCTTCATGCAGTTGTGGACTATCGGGGAGCGTGGTGGCTTACAAAAGTCGCCTTTCGTATTTGCCACAAACTTTTTTTATCCGATTATTTTATTACGATTTCTTTACTCGAGTCTTTTCCAAACCATAGCCATTTGTCGGCAAAAAGTAGGAAGAAAAGGAAAAAATAAGAAAGAAAAAGTCAAGAATTGAACAAATGCTGTGTGTTCGTACGGTTGAGCTCGACTGATTCAATAAACACAGCAGCGGAGCAAAGTCCGTTTGGTATTGGGTTGGATGCTCACGGATTGCAATGGCCAGTTGTGATAAACATGTTATTAATTTTATTTCAGCTTCTTTAACGTCTCTCTGGGGAAGATTTAATGACAAATGGCCAGATTCTTGATTTCTCAGAAATTTATGGCTTTCTTTCTACTCTCTCTGCCTCGCGAGGCTTTCAACTAACTGGGCAAATGCAATGAACCATTCACTATCCACTCTTCGGATAGAAAAGCAGTGGTGTGGTCACATGCAATTGGATTCAATTATTATTACTGGGAACCAGAAAAAAGAATTGCAATCGCAATCTGGTCCCAGGCAGGACGGATGTGTCCACTATTACTCACTGTGGACGGACGGTGGTCTCGTTGTAATGGCTGGTGGCATAAATTTATCATCGTATAAAACTAGTAAAAAATGAAATTCGTCATTTGTTTGTTTGTTATCCAAAAAAGTTGATAAATGAGTTACAAGGAATTCTCATTTAAAGGACGGACTTTACTAGTTTGATGGAAATACACACTTTAATCCTTGCTTACAGAGCGACATATGCTACTCAGGAGAAGTCTCTTATTCCGTTGTTGTGGATTTGATATAAGGATCCATTATCTGTATCCTTCATCTCGGTTCTATTGTATTTTTATACTGCACACTTTGTAAAAATGTTCGCCTCGTTTCAGTGGAAAAGAGGCAAATAGAGTCATCAAACTTGAAATTTAAGCCGAGCCAGAGCCGACAGACAGTCATCCTTCGAACCACCACAACTACTTAACAATCCGGATGACAAATTGTTAACCGAGTGGTCCAAATCAATCATTTTTCACCCGGATCATTTATACCAAAAGTACAGGAGTTGGTTGAACAAGAAGACACAATAGGACAATGGTGGGATTGACATTCAGGCCAAAATGGATTTTTAATGAAGCTTCCTTCAGTCAGAGAGAGAGAGACGGACGATTTGATCCTGCCTGCTTGCTTTGCCACCAAACCGGATATTTTTTATTGAATGGAGGGAAAAAAAGAAGAAAATTTTGAAACCTTTTCACTACAAGGAATTCCTGCCAAGGAAAGTTTCTGATCTCGTGGGTATCTTCTTTTGATGTGTCATGACATTAGCTAAACTGAGGGATGATAGAGACGTAAAATACAATATAATACTTTGGAGACTCATCCATCGTTCAATCCTCTTGGTTTGGGTGATCTCTTACGTGATCTCACTTACATAATATTCAGCTTTCTATTTATTTACAAGGGTTGAGTATTTTATAACTTCTTTTTTTACAACATCATTTCTCTTGTCGGATTGTCAACCGATTTCATGCAAAGTGTCCAACTTTCAAAGTTGTTGACAGAATGATGAACAAGTTTTGTAATATTATTCCACAGAATCCGGAACTTGAATATGTAATGTGACTTTGTCAACCCCATTAAATCATGAGAAAGCACTTTATATTCCTCCGACGGGGTAAAAACACGTAAAAATAAGGGTTATGCCCACATACGAATGTCAAATGGAGACCAATTTATAAATTGCTCCGCTAAATGTCCAAGAAATAAATGTGTGTGTGGTTTCTTTACATTTTGAACCTTTCCATCACCCTCAAACCGATAAATTAGAGAGACGACAACGCTAAAGATCTCCCCAAAGGGTTTTATTTCATCGTCCACCTACTCACCATCCCCACGCAAAATAATAAAAGAAAGTGAAGTGGCTTTTAGCTGACCAAAGTTTTGATTGGGTTTGATGGTCGATGATCATGGGCTGGATGGGTCCCTGGTGAGACATTGTAGAAATAGAAAGGCCGGTGGCACACTGCTTGGATTAAAACGGGGAAAGTTTTCTGCCGGAATAAGAATTGGGTGGTGGAGAGTGAGGGTTGACCTGGACGAATAATATGCAAAACACCATTTATCCCGAGACGGTTGGATGACTCTGATGGAAATATTTTTCATTGACGAGGACAGACAGGAGGCATTACACATTCTCTCTTCCTTCCTCCTCTTCCTCTCCTCAGGCAGAGGAGGCAAGTCAACCAACGACGAATTTGTGTATTCGTACCCTTTCATCCGTTAGTGGTCTGGGTAGATGACCATTTTATTCAAATTGGCCTTTTTACGGAAATTGCCTCTTTCTCTTCCCCCCAACCCAACCGTCCAAGAAAAAAATATCCAGTGGAGTGGACTTTTGGGCATAAGGTCATTTTATTATCTTGGGTAATATTTCCTTTCACCGCATCGCCAACTTTCTCCTCCTTCAAGAAGCCGGACCAGGCACGCAAATCAAGTCAACACCTTCCAATTTGCTTAGAAAGTACTTTTGTGTCGACATTCATATGAGCAAATAACTCAACTTGTCCTCTCTCTGCAGAACATCTCTCTATTTTTAAACCAATGTTGTAGTAGATACCAATACATGCCGACTTTTTTCTATTATTACGTTCTTTTCTCCTTCCTCCTGTAACATATCGGCACCTTTTCAAATTTGGAATTGGCATCAGTTCGAGAGTTTATGGCTACAAAGGACCAAGGAACACAAGGAGGGAAGAAAACCGTATCAGCGGGTGGGGTTTGATGCAAGATGTTATCCTTTTGTTATTTTTTTCCTCCACTCTCCTCCGGCTTGAGCCATCTAAATCGAAATCGAGCCAAAATGCAGAGGAATCTTGTAGAGACACACACACACATTTTCTTGTAAATAGCTCATGTTATTATGATCCTTCGTCGTAGTAGTGATCATTCCCTGCCAAGTCCACAGCGGTCCACACACATTTAGAATGCATATACAAAGTCCATTACCTGGCTGCAAATGACTCTCCGATTCTCTCAAGAGAGAGAATTGTTGTGGATTGGACATTGTCTATACCAGGACATACGTTCTTCTTCTTCTTCTCGAGAAGAAATGAGCAACAGCACAGCAATAACAATTTACAACCCGGTACAACAAACAAACAATGAAGGAGTAACTAAATCTCAGAGAGCAGTGATGATGATGATGCTCACTAACAATAACACAACAGAGGAGCACATACAACTAATAAGAGAGGTAAACCCAAGTAATAACGACGAGGACGACGACGAAATAGGGAGACCAGACCAGGTACATACGCACAAACATAAGTACGAGGAATCCCTAAAAGTAAGAACAAAATCCTATTATCTTTCCTCTCACCCTCTCTAAACCACAATCTCATTATTCTTTTCGGTGTAA